ATTTTCTCATGTTCCTCAATAACACGCCCTCCACGATGTGAGACCTTTCCATGTAACTTTCGTAACTACCTTGAGACCGCAACAGATCTAACCAAGCTTCATGAAGTAACAATGAGTTTATTTGTATTCACGCCGTTAATTAACCTAGAACAGCCTTTTTTTGCCATTTGATTACAATTAAAATTTATAATTGGTTAATTATACCGCAAATCACGCGCTTTAATTAGATTACCTAAATATACGTTTCGGTCCTCGGAGAATTCGCCGAAAAAAATTTAGCTAAAGCTTTTAGCGGGAAAAATGACGCTTCAAGTGTTTCAAACCTAATTATTAAACCACTTAAATCGTAATCCCGTCAATTATAGTGGAGTAACTTTTAACAAAAATAGACTATAAAAGACTTCATTTTAGAAAATTGTAATTTTTCAGGCAAAAGAGGTTTACTGCCTTACTTATGTTTCGTTCAAGTTTAAAAATGCCCCAAAGCGGGTAAATGTCTCAACGCTTAATCGTAGACCTGTAAATAATAAGGTTTAAATAGACCCGCCTCGCTATGGAAGAATTGAGAATTTCTATTTAGGTAATAAAATGTTTCACTTATATACGTTTTTAATTCCATGACTATAATTGCGAGCTTTTGGCGAGATTCCAAGTGACGAGAATTTTTTAATGTAAGTATAGAGTACGGTCTACTCAAATTACTTTGTCGTTAGCGACACCCAACAAAACTACATAAGCTTTTCGCTCACAAAATTGCATTTCTTCAGTGCAGGTTCTTAGACATTAAATGAAAAAGTCTATACCTAACTGTGTGCGAATAGCATGTTACATGAATTTTATTGTATTACTTCCATTTCGGAGTAAAGTACGATAAATGTGCATTTTAACACTGAAGTATTCCTTCTGTCCCATGTCTCTATAGTGAACTAGAGAAATTCATAGCTTACGTGTGCCTGGAGATAAGTTACCCCTCTTTCAAGTTTCACCCAATCAGATTTATACCGTATTGGACTTCATGCACATTTTTAAACATAGAAAATGGAAACTACAACTTTTAAGAATCACAATAATTCTAATTTCGAGGCATAGCTAAGACGAATGCAAAAACTGGTGAGTAAAATATTGTAGAAAGCTTGGAAAGTTTCATGTACTTATAGGTAATAGACATTTACCAGATTATTGTCTAAGCGTACTTTTTGGAGGTGGCGCGGCGGTGGAATGGCATTCTTTTACTTCAGCGTGGAAAATAGAAGGAAATTTTGGGTCGAACATGTTCGAAAAATTCTGAAGAAAAGCAAAATAGAAAACGAAACAGAGAATTGAACAAAAAGGAACAGAAATAATTTAATTTTCAATTTTTTACGTCTCGATTCAAGACTGAAATCGTAAACCTACCAACTTATGCCAGAAAAGTGACCCTCGTAGATCGTGGTCCGAAATCTTTCCAAATGTTCCGCGGATGATTAGGAAAAAATCTGCACCTTGGCGTTTAGTGAAAGATCCTTACCGAAATGATTTCTTCGAATTTTTAAAAAGAGTTTCAGCTAAAGTTTAAAACCAACTTCAATTTGGAAATTTCATTTCAGAATTAGAAATATTTTTTGGAAATCCTAATCTTTTGAAATTTTGGTTTCAGCACGTAATCACTTTTTATGATCCTTGCTTTAAATTATTGCTTGTAGAGGTTTGAGTGCAAAACACTTTATTAGCTTCTTAAGAATATTGAGGAATTTGTATTGGATAATTCAAATAAATTCGATGTTATCTGTGATTTTGTAACCACTAATTATTAAATGGCTGTTTTCAATTTATTCAGTTTTAATTACAATCAGTGCTTGCAATAGTAAAATTTGATTTAATATTACTATCGCGCAATACTCGGCAAATATGGCAAAATGTTAATCAACCCAGTTGTAGTAATGCATTTGCAGCAATTCCATAAATGAAGTTGACGTTCCAACTATATGGATTATTATCAAAATAGTTCAATACGCAACAAATGCATAATGTCAGTTATTCTGGAGGTAGGTATATTACCAAGACACAAATTTATCAGGATAAAGGTATTTAATTAAAAATCACAAGAAATAAACTTAAAAACGTCGATTTTAGGTGGAAGCGGGACACCTTTTACTTAAAAATTTGCACCCCTGGCTTCAATAATTTTAAATTGAACGTTTGATCTAGTGAGACGTTATTGGAAAGGGCTCTTAAGCTTCTCACATGTAAAAGGTAGGTACTCAGAACTATCTCTCGTCAAAGGCCCAAATATAATGTTTAAGTTTCTCATTCTTTAAAAACTTGTTTATATTATATTCAGAATACGCAATGAAAACATGTTTCAAATTATGCCGAACTCTTCTCTCACACCCTTGTTTTAATTTCTATCAGGTATGATGAGCATTGAGCATCTTTTCGGCTTACGGGTGTTTACAGAGTCCCTTTTGTATTTAATATATCCCTAAAGTAACTAAATAGAATTCTAAAGGAAAATATAAACTGATGAATGCCCACCGTTATTTAACTTAATGGAGCTCTAAAAATTAAATTTGGAAACATAACCATAAAACACTGCTAAATCGAACGTCTATGACGTATACTCGTTTATATAATATTGATACAGTTCGAGCTATAAATAAAATTATCGCGCTGAATAAACTCCGGATCAAGAAGTCATAGTGTTTACATTATACGGGATAAAAAATTACCGATCGATGCGGTAATGTGCAGGTTTTGTTGTTTGCTCTGGATAAAGTTGGTATTTGTGTCTGTTGATGACTCGATATTACAGGCGGCACCGGGGGACTTCTCCTTTGTCTTTCGTCGCAATCTGAACACTTCGCTTTTCCAATCAAATAATTTCTTAATGTAATTGGAATATTTAGAGAGGGAAAGGTACTTCAGCGAGTGGGTTGCGGATCAATTGGTTTTTATTTAAGATAAGGTATCCAATTTAATAACTTGATACATCTACAGAAATCTCAAGTAACGAGTTATTTGTTGGAGACAAAAATAAATATTCCTTCCCCTAATATCACTAACTGAATGATTATAAGAAGTAGAAAGGTGCCAATGCTGCACCTGGATCGATAAATTTTTCAATTAAATAAAATGTAGTTTTTAATAATTCAGTAGAGTAGGTATGGGTTTTCTGAAATATTTTTAGAGACATAATTCCTGCAATATATTACGATATTCTTAATTTATCTGAATGATTTTGATACCAGAAGCAATTTCCGTTTTCCTCCAAAATGTGTATAATGGGGGAGGTAGGGTGGTTAATAAAATCCTTTTTACTAATGGTTTCTGTACCTTGTAACAAACATTCCCATATTGAAGTGGTGGTTGTATAAAATGATTGATATTTGTTTGTTGCAAATGAGTTTCTCAATTATTCCAATACTAACCTCTCGCAGGATTTAAATCAACTTTTTTACACGTTGTATGAATATATTTCCTTTTTACTTGTCTCTCGATTTGTTACATATTTTACGTTACTTTCTCCCAAAATGTTAAATCGTGAAATACATTTGCACTGCAGTTTCTACAAAAAGTTCTATTCATGCTGTTCATAATAAATGTCAACTTATTTTTTGGCCTTCATTACCAATTGGCGATCTCCGATAAAGAATCCACCTGCTAACCGCAAAATTATTATTTTATTATTTTTATTATTTTTGTTTGCTTCTAGTAGTTCTAGTAAATAATGCTGATCGAATTATGACAATTTTTAAAGACTTATCCTCATTGTCACACAACCGTCAATACGTATTCAAATTAAATGTATGTATTTGTAAAAGCCTCCCCTACAATTGCTAAATTTTTTAAGTTATTTCCAAACTCGCTCTCTACATTGTGTAATATTATCACTAGAATGGTGCATTCCATTTAAAGCGAAACACTCATAACAGACGAGTTCATATATTTGGAGATATCACAAATTTTAGGTCCTAGTAAAAGTTCAGTTTCCAGTAATGTTAAAGATGGTAATTCAAATGCAAATTCTTCCCCAAAATTGCAGCATTCATTGAAAAAAGCCAAATTCCTATCGTTTTTAATAATTATTCGCCAAATTGTTCTACAGCGTTCATCCCGAAATAGCTAAAATGTTTACCCTCACTCATAACGTTCTGTTCATATTTCATTGTTGTTAATTGTGTATGCTTTTTTCCAAATAAAGAGGGTTGTTATTAAATTACATTTAACGTAAGGATTGAAGTACGTATTAGACCTAGCAGCTCTAGGGCGGTAAATATGACTTACAACCCTCCTGCCATATCTTTTAAGATGTCAAAAACGCCCGATCGTGAAAAAAAGTAATAGGTATGTAACCATAGTGTAATGGCATAACGATAAACATAAAGAAAATGATCTGAACCCTGATCTGAACATTTTAAACTGTACAAAATTATGTACGAGTATGGCCATGGCAAAAAACGCCGCAATTGTTGCATAACTTTGAAAAACTCAAACCGCCTGAGGCATATCTATAAAACAAATTTTCCACAAAACCCTTCAAATTAGGACAGCTAATTAGCATTCAACTTGACAGAATATACTGTTAGTCCTCACAACATCAAATTAACGTTTTATTGCGACAATTAAAACATTGGCTGGCATCTCTTCATTGGGATTTCCTGCTTTACGTTTGCATCTTAGCAAGAAAATTGAAAACTCGGATAGCGAGGAAGACAAAAACGATCCACTTCTAAATCAATTTACCGTAAATTTTAAATTATACGCATCAGTAAGAAAGATTACTTAATTATTAACGGGGAATACTCCTGAAATATTTAAATAGAAATCGTATTAGAGCTTTTCAAATGAAAAAATAATGCGTTTGTGTTAATTACCGTCATACTGAAATATGACAGTTATTTATAGATTAAAGGATATAAAGCAGCTGCAAGGGAAATGCCTTTTTTCTTTTGGGTTACTTACCACTTTTGCTATTATTATAAATAATTTATTTATTAACAATGGGAAAGGTGTAAACTTACTTTTCACGCAAATGTAACGTGTCGCCAAAAAGCTTCATTAGAAAGGCACTTATACAAAGTTTAGGCAGTCGAACTTATATGGCATTTTTTAAGCCGACAGAAAGCAAAACTTCGACATGTGTGCGAATGTACCGAGAATAATCAGGCACAACCTCGTTGTGTAACGACCAATACTGACTGTTGTACTTGGCGGAAGCTTCAAACTTTTCATATTGTTTCAGTTTCAATGGGGGTTGCGCGCTCTGTCGTGGCAAACTGTAACTTTACGGTCAACTAAAAACGGAAGCCTCGTAGAGGGTGATCCTGCACCGAAATTCGGTAGCAGCAGAAAACTCGTTTTTGTAGCCGTCTCGCTTGTGTAGTAAAAGCTCGTACTTAGAGAGGGCAACCCGAATATTACTCGCCACAATTTTTTAGTTGGAAAACACAATTGTTATAGTTTTCTGGACATTAGGGTAAAAAAACCCTTAAATTCGAATTGAAACAACCGTTTTTCTTCATATTCTATGTAAAAGTCATGTTATCTGCGAAAAATACGTGCTAGAACATTGTTTAATTGTTTATTAGTGGTTGAAATATTAAATTACAATGTTTTTTTTCCCCATTTTGAGAACTGGGCACTATCAGTCACCATAAAGAGTATCAGCTTCTTGGCTGCGAATCCCATTATCCGTTATCTGTTGTATTATGTAGTATATTTAAATATTTAAATCTGTGGTAGTATCTTGAACATTGGTCTGACCATTCGACAGCCTTGAAGCTCCTGCCAAATGATTGACGAAATGTGTAATTTTTTGTGAAATGGATCCCTTGTTCGTTCGGGGAACGAATTGACCCACCCCCGGCCTGTGGAGAACGTAAAAGGCGATCAATCGGCATGAGGAACCACAATTACAACCAATTGTCAAACGTTCCCGCCAATCCCTCGTTCACATTGTCATATTCATTACAATAGGTTTACTGGATTTGGATTTTGCACCTACCACCATTTCTTCTTCTTTTTAATAAGCCATTCAATGCACGGTGTATTATCTTTTCAACCAAAGTCATTTTATTTACAAAGTGGTACTTTCATGGCAATTACGAACAAACAACCCAGTTATTAAACATGTATTCGAATATAACGTCAATATGATAACCTTCCTTTTTTACCAAAATTCGACTACCCCAAAATTTCTCGGGAGAACACTTTTTCTTATTAATTTGGGTGCGTAGAATCCAAATCAATTCGTACTTTTTCGATCAACTTCTCAATCAAAAGTAATAGACTAGAAACCAATTTCGAAAAAAAATTCAAAGGGCTGTAACTTTTGAACTAGTAGCCCAATCTTGGAACTGTTTGAAATTATGGATTCTACAGCCCACATTCTATAAGAAAATTATTTTCCGGGTCGATCTGAGAAAATTTTTTTTTCGGGGCTCAAGAAAAGGCAGTGTATAACCTTCCTTTTTTACCAAAAATCGACTACACCAAAATTTCTCGGGAAAACACTTTTTCTTATCAATTTGGGTGCGTAGAATCCAAATCAATTCGTACTTTTTCGATCAGACTTCTCAATCAAAAGTTATAGACTAGAAACCAATTTCGAAAAAAATTCAAAGGGCTGTAACTATTGAACTAGTAGCCCAATCTTGGAACTGTTTGAAATTATGGATTCTACAGGCCACATTCTATAAGAAAATTTTTTTCCGGGTCGATCTGAGACAATTTTTTTTTCGGGGCTCAAAAAAAGGCAGTGTATAACCTTCCTTTTTTACCAAAAATCGACTGCACCAAAATTTCTCGGGAAAACACTTTTTCTTATTAATTTTGGTGCGTAGAATCCAAAACAATTCGTACTTTTTCGATCAGACTTCTCAATCAAAAGTTATAGACTAGAAACCAATTTCGAAAAAATTCAAAGGGCTGTAACTTTTGAACTAGTAGCCCAATCTTGGAACTGTTTGAAATTATGGATTCTACAGGCCACATTCTATAAGAAAATTTTTTTCCGGGTCGATCTGAGACAATTTTTTTTTCGGGGCTCAAAAAAAGGCAGTGTATAACCTTCCTTTTTTACCAAAAATCGACTACACCAAAATTTCTCGGGAAAACACTTTTTCTTATTAATTTGGGTGCGTAGAATCCAAATCAATTCGTACTTTTTCGATCAGACTTCTCAATCAAAAGTTATAGACTAGAAACCAATTTCGAAAAAAAATTCAAAGGGCTGTAACTTTTGAACTAGTAGCCCAATCTTGGAACTGTTTGAAATTATGGATTCTACAGGCCACATTCTATAAGAAAATTTTTTTCCGGGTCGATCTGAGACAATTTTTTTTTCGGCGCTCAAAAAAAGGCAGTGTATAACCTTCCTTTTTTACCAAAAATCGACTACACCAAAATTTCTCGGGAAAACACTTTTTCTTATTAATTTCGGTGCGAAGAATCCAAATCAATTCGTACTTTTTCGATCAGACTTCTCAATCAAAAGTTATAGACTAGAAACCAATTTCGAAAAAAAATTCAAAGGGCTGTAACTTTTGAACTAGTAGTCCAATCTTGGAACTGTTTGAAATTATGGATTCTACAGGCCACATTCTATAAGAAAATTTTTTTTCCGGGTCGATCTGAGACAATTTTTTTTTCGGGGCTCAAAAAAAGGCAGTGTATAACCTTCCTTTTTTACCAAAAATCGACTACACCAAAATTTCTCGGGAAAACACTTTTTCTTATTAATTTGGTGCGTAGAATCCAAAACAATTCGTACTTTTTCGATCAGACTTCTCAATCAAAAGTTATAGACTAGAAACCAATTTCGAAAAAAAATTCAAAGGGCTGTAACTTTTGAACTAGTAGCCCAATCTTGGAACTGTTTGAAATTATGGATTCTACAGGCCACATTCTATAAGAAAATTTTTTTTCCGGATCGATCTGAGACAATTTTTTTTCGGGGCTCAAAAAAAGGCAGTGTAATACCTTCCTTTTTCACCAAAAATCGACTGCACCAAAATTTCTCGGGAAAACACTTTTTCTTATTAATTTTGGTGCGTAGAATCCAAAACAATTCGTACCTTTTCGATCAGACTTCTCAATCAAAAGTTATAGACTAGAAACCAATTTCGAAAAAAAATTCAAAGGGCTGTAACTTATGAACTAGTAGCCCAATCTTGGAACTGTTTGAAATTATGGATTCTACAGGCCACATTCTATAAGAAAATGTTTTTTCCGAATCGATCTGAGACAATTTTTTTTTCGGAGCCCAAAAAAAGGCAGTTATTTACCTTCCTTTTTTACCAAAAATCGACTGCACCAAAATTTCTCGGGAAAACACTTTTTCTTATTAATTTTTGTGCGTAGAATCCAAAACAATTCGTACTTTTTCGATCAGACTTCTCAATCAAAAGTTATAGACTAGAAACCAATTTCGAAAGAAAATTCAAAAGGCTGTAACTTTTGAACTAGTAGCCCAATCTTGGAACTGTTTGAAATTATGGATTCTACAGGCCACATTCTATAAGAAAATTTTTTTTCCGGGTTGATCTGAGACAATTTTTTTTTCGGGGCTCAAAAAAGGCAGTGTATAACCTTCCTTTTTTACCAAAAATCGACTACACCAAAATTTCTCGGGAAAACACTTTTTCTTATTAATTTTGGTGCGGAGAATCAAAAATGATTCGTACTTTTTCGATTAGACTTCGCAATCAAAAGTTAAGGACTAAAAACCAATTTCGAAAGAAAATTCAAAGGGCTGTAACTATAATAATAGTAATAATAATAGTATTTTATTCCATAGACAAACTAGTTTGTGTGGAAATTGTCAACAAATATTTAAATTACGAGTAGGTACATTAAGTATTATCATTGAATAAAAATAGTGTTTTTATTCAATGGTATTATATAGGTAAAAAACAAATTACACATTAAATAGCGACAAACAAGTTACATTAAACAGTAAGATATTCACTTATATCATAGTGACATTTGTCAACTAGAAACAAATATAATTTTTCTTTAAAGATTGATAATTGCCTACAGTTACGTATTATGTGAGGTAAATGGTTATAGATCTTAATTCCCAGATTGGAAGGTGAATTGATTCCAATTTTTGTCTTAGTGAAATGTGGTCGAAGATTATCATTACCTCGGATATTGTATTGATGTATATCCTTACTTTTAACCATCTTGTTAGAGTTGACATAAATATATTGACAGATTTCAAATATATACAATCCTGTTAGAGTGAGAATTTTATGTTTTTTGAAGAATCCTCGACAAGAATCAAATTTGCGAATATTTGCAAGTGTTCGGATAATTCTCTTTTGAGAGAGAAAGACGCAACGAGAATAAGGGGATGGTCGCCATAAACAAATTCCGTAACGAATGATAGAAGCTACTGATGCGTGGTAGATCGGAATTAATTGTGGTAGTGTAAATATAGTACGTAAGTTTCTAAATAAATAATTAGTTCTATTTAACTTATTGACTATATTAGTACAATGTACTTGCCAATTCAAATGTGCATCTACTTATGAACTTATGAACTAGCAGCGCAATCTTGGAACTGTTTGAAATTATGGATTCTACAGGCCACATTCTATAAGAAAATTTTTTTCCGGGTCGATCTGAGACAATTTTTTTTTCGGGGCTCAAAAAAAGGCAGTGTATAACCTTCCTTTTTTACCAAAAATCGACTACACCAAAATTTCTCGGGAAAACACTTTTTCTTATTAATTTGGGTGCGTAGGATCCAAATCAATTCGTACTTTTTCGATCTGACTTCTCAATCAAAAGTTATAGACCAGAACCAATTTCGAAAAAAAAATTCAAAGGGCTGTAACTATTGAACTAGTAGCCCAATCTTGGAACTGTTTGAAATTATGGATTCTACAGGCCACATTCTATAAGAAAATTTCTTTTCCGTGTCGATCTGAGACAATTTTTTTTTTCGTGCCTCAAAAAAAGGCAAGTGTATAAAACATATATTTTTATTTTATTTTATTTATTTTTTTTTTATTTTTTTTTTTTTTCCTTTATTTTTAAATTATATTTCAGATGTAATAAGAAATACTATAAAAAAACACGTGTGTAATTGGTACTCGTTAGGCGTGCTTTAAAGGCACTTGTGTCGTAATATCCTATTTTAGAGTTTAGTTTTGGAAAAAATTAAAAAAAAATCTTTACAACGCAGGATTTTTCACTTTGCTTCAGATGCAACGTCCATTTAGAATCAATTTATTCAAAATCCAAACTTATGTTGAGTTTATCTATAAGGATTTGGTAGGATTTTTTAAATTTTTATTGTCATAAGGAATTTTTTAGACATTTCGAGTGGGTTCATTAAACTTGTATATCTGTTACATTATACTAATTTGGGAAAAAAGGACCTGCTACTACCATATATATTCACACTTATCCTGAGTTTAATTATAAGGTCCTAATAAAACATTTCTTCTGGTGTAGATTTATGGTAACGTTTAGTTAGAAACTAAGTGTTCGATTCAAATTCGGAAATTTTATCCTTTTGCCAATATTAAAACCTGTCTATATTTTATATACATTTGCAAAATTGTAATGAAGTATTTATGGTGTTAATTAGACCCGTTATGTGGTTAGTTTTTGATCATTTCGTTTACGGATTGTTTTATTATTCAAATTCTCTGCAAAAAATTAAGTACATTTTGCCCAAAGCATTGGATATTTGCACCAAATGTAATTTGTGGTTCTGTAGAGCTGTTTTTCAGTTATTTGGTTGTAGAAAATGTCTTTGAAAATAATTCGAATTTAGAAAGCAAAATTTGTACTACCGTAAGGATTCATTTTATGGCCAATGTTTTAGAATTTTGTGTGCTAATAAAGTGCCGTTTAAACCTATCAGGGTATTATTGTAATATGCTAATGGCCAAACGCCTTTTTTAAGCATAAGTGTACTGCAAAGCGCAATTTATTAATTTGCATTTTTTTCAAATCATATCATCCCTCCTTAATAGGTATGACTTCTTTCAAACTTGACGCTTATAACTAAAATTACAAGCGTAAACGGTGGACCATAAATTTCAACATTTGTCTTGCCCACACAGCAAGTAGGCATTTTACGCGCTACACCATATTGAAATTGTTGAAAAATTAATAAACCCGAACCGCTTTCCGCTTCTTATTAACGTCTCATAAGATACAAAACCCATCAAAATACGATTTATATGCTACGCCTTAACCACACTGTCACCCACGATTTTCTACACTTGAACTCCACGTACCTTATTATCTTTCACCTCCAGCGAATGAATAAATTAAGTTTCAATTTGTAATAAACCATCGAAAATATGCGTTAACTGTTTTTGGAAATGAATTGGGGGTTTAAAAGATCATAATTGAAAATAGTTGTAGTAAAACTCTTTGTATTGATCATGAGGGTTAGTAGGATACAAGCACATCTCAAAAAGACTCCCAGGAGATAAACAAGTTGGACATTTGTTATTCGTAAAAGCCAAAGCGTGTAGTCTCCGTGGGACATATGAGAAACATGTGTTCGGATTGTTGTGGAAAACTCTGTAGACTTCAAACATTTCACTAAAGAGAATGCGCGCCCTTGTTAAAGTTAATATTTATCGGACTTGCGTGTACAATCCGACAATTTATATACTTGGGCAATTTTTATTGTTTGTGATTGGGGCGCGTCCGTTTTACTCATTTTGCCTTTCATCGATATGTTTCGAAGCTACGGGTACACTTTCCTAAATTTGTAAATTGATTTACACCCGAAGGAAATTTCATCTGAAGAAAAATCGACTGACGTCAAAAAATGATTGGCAGGAAACTCGTTTAAAGTGACAACTTCCTTTTAGACGGATTTTTTGTTGCTTCCAATAAGCTTATAATTTGTATATAAATCTTGGAGGTCTTTTCCTTCGTGCATCGGGCAGTCTTCCATTTAAAAGGTTTACAAAACTCTGTCGCTTCGAAATGATCAATAGTCCTCCTTCCGAAACTAAAATAAATTGAATTTTAATATTTTGAAACTCGAGGATTTAGTTCCATGGATCCGTAGACGCACCTGACTTAATTTCATTTAGAAACCTATAAATCTGTCACAAATCCCTATTCCGAGATAAAGGTTTCCCTCGAGGGCCGGGATTTGAATGCGTTTCAAGGTGTGCTTTGGCATCTTTCCCTGCCAAACCTTCGTATTTAGTTATTTTTGATTTAATAACTGTGTAAGATAATTCGCATTGTTTTTGCGAACACGGCCAAGAATTCGTGATACAGTAGTAATAAATCACATAATTTTTGTCCTTCCCCCAGTTCTTTCCCTTTGGTTTTACGACGCCACAAATCGAAGTAGTACACAATTCCAACTGCAGTTATGCAAAATTAGAAAGATTTATTGAATGCCTTCTTACAAACATTCAACCATGCAGAAATACTTGGAAACGCCTCCCTTTTACTGTTTTCGCTCTTCAAAGGGAAATTGATGGAGGAACGTCCGAAATTATGATCTAAGTTTAGACGAAAGGAGTTGTTGGTTAATTACAATACCCATACGGACTGAGCTGGTGCTTGAGAAGGTGCAAGTGCGAATACCTTGTTATTTTCGAAATACAGCAGTTGTTAAATGAGAATATAAATATATAAATAGATGGCAGAGGAAGTGACTGTCCATACTACTTTGCACTGTCGGTTATTAATATAACTTCGAACGGAAACAAGAAATTATATTCTTCAGTTATTAGCGATAAAATTTGCCATGTGCTTAAGGCATTTTTAATTTTAACATTCAGGATAGGCCCCTATTATTTATTTATATGTAACGTTCCATCGATTTAAAAATTAGCTTGCAATCGCATAATTTTCGTTTGTTTTGTAAAATTTCTCGCCTTTAAAAATAAACTGGCGCCACTTTGAGTAAGTTCCTACAATCGGGCCGTAAAAACACGATGACCATGTACGTAAATATATGGATTAAAAACAAAGCTCTTAAAGCTCTCGCTGACGTTTATGATGTTCAGAATAGGAATACGCATACTGTTATGAAACATATTAACCTAAATGATAGGTTTTTATGATTATTTGACAATAATGTCTCCCTAATACTATTGTAGGCATATAGGCAATAACTGAACAATGATCACAATATAACATTCATTAAAATCACGAAACAACTAGTGAATTGTTGGACAAGAATTATTACTTATGGAGTTGGTACTAAGAAAAGTTATAGACAACAAACCGATCCCGAACCTATACGCACCCATCAGCAGTATCGATACCGAAACCGTCGCATGCGAATTTGTGAACACGTGGATTTCACGATTGGGCGTACCATCCAAAGTTACCGACCAGGGGCGGCAATTCAAGGGAACACTTTTCCGGTACTTGGAGCACACTTGGGCATACCACCCTCAAGCAAACGAGCCGGCAGACCGATTCCTTCGACAACTAAAAACGTCCCTCCGTTGCCACGAAAAGCAAGAATGGACTCAAGCACTCCCAATGGTACTTCTAAGGATACGAAATGCTTGGAAGGAGGACATCAAGGCAACAGCAGAGCATATAGGATACGTTTACGATTCCCAGGAATATTTAAATGCTTTTTTTATTGAAGAATCTTCACCCAAAATCGTGTCTTACACTATCTCAAACCATCTACTCCCTATTAAGACAACAGAGTGCCATTTGCTGAAGCAGAAAATGCATTAATCTTATATTTTCTTCCACTTAAACGACGCCGACGCGTCTTTACCAGGGTCATCAATCATATTGGTTTCATTATAATTAACTTTATAAGTTTTTTGCTTGAGATACTGTTTTCCAATCTTACAAAATATGCTTTAATAGTATTTTTGGAAACACTGGAATACTAAAATTGTTAATGTTTCACGCCAACGTTTGAGTGATTTAACTATACATGTAATTATTTTAAAATCAGAATTCTACGTGTGTACCATTTCAAATCATCTCTTCCCTTCAAGACGTTAACTTTCAGCCGCGCTAACAATAAGTGAAAATCTGCCTCCGGATTGTTGCTGATAATTGAGTTACAAGAAAAAAAACGGAGACTGCACTGTTTTCAAGCAGAGCAGATTATAATGTACCCTCTTCCACTACAATACATTTAATATGCAATAAAATGAACCACATAATCTTATTGAATAAATGGAAACACAAGAAGATGAAATAAATATAATATCGTCGTATTTCCTTCAAGTTTTAATTGAACTACTGCCACGTGGTAGAGTGTGTTAAAGGAGTGGTACATCGTTTCCTTTACAATTTAGTTCCTGTCGCCCTCCCTTGAAGCTTGCCGGTTTACTTAAATCGTTGGAAAAATGTGATTCAATTTCGGCGAAAGTTTTTCGATGGGTTTCAATCACAAATACATAAATGTACACACAACCCAATAAACAAATTAAAGAAATATAGTAGAATGGGTACGACGCGTGTACTATGTTTTGTAATAAATAGTAACATTGTATCGAGGAGAATTCGGTAATGCAACCAAAGATGCTGTAAATAGATTGGCCCACTCCACGAACCTGCGTTGGATATGCTTCGGCCGAAATCATGTATGGAACAACGAACATTCCTGTTATCGCAACTATTGAGTACAGTGAGGTTGCCAGCAATGGGATCAATTGGTAATTCGTCCGATCTGAAACGATTTTTTAAACCGAAACTTCGTCGCCTATTAATTATACCCTCTATGCTGTAACCGGCGTAAATTCCTAACGTTAACATGCAAGCTGACATCCCTGCGCAACTGATCATCATCAAGATTCGGCGAGACAGTTTTTTCATTACCCAAATCATGCAGACAGACGTGATTAGCTTTGCGATTCCGATGTACACGCCGATCTGGTATGAGTCGTAGGTTGTACCAAAATCCTGAAACGAAAGGAGTTACCTAGCGCTATTTTCAATAGTCGCTGCTTTCACCATGAGAAATTGTACAATATTCCCGAAAATAAAGCTCGTGCCAGAAAAATCTTGAAAAAATCGTAGACCAGCCACCATCAAAACCCTTTTGTATCCATTAGGATCGAGGAAAAACTTCATTTTTTCCCACATCTTCAGTGCTGTAAAATTTTGTCGCTCGTGTAGCTCTTGTATTGCACTGAGTTTCATTTCTATCGCATCACACTGTAACAGCTCAATGGTATCACGCAGTTATAAAAAGAAAAAAATACCCTATCAATATTAAACGTTTTATGTTTGTGAAATGCATGCAATGCTGTTCGTGCTTCGAGACTTCGTCCTTTGGTAACCAACCACAAAGGACTTTCATGTAAAAATGCAGATAAAATAACTGGTATCGGCGTTAATCCCAAATTAATCCAGGCGGCTGTTCGCCAATGCAATTTGGAACCGATTGCCAAAGCAGTTAATGTACCTAAATCTCCATGGAGTACCTAATCGACATAAGGGCGCTAATCATACCTGAACCCATGAAAGCTACTTTAATGTGAAGTAGCATTCCTCTAACATTAGGGGGGCTTATTTCAGCAATATAAACGGATGCCCCATTGACAAACCACCCTAATGGTATCACTGAGCTATAGGAACTTCAGTAGTGTGTTACTTACCGTAAGAGGAACTTGACAGACATTTGCCAACTAAAAGAGCCGCAAAGCTCTGCGAAGTCGCTGTAATTATCCACGATACTGCGTAAGGCACCGCGGCGAGTCTAAGTGCGTTTAATCGCCCAAAATTATCCATCGTAATCCCAGAAAGGGCGGCAGATATGGGCAACACTAGGGCCGGGGCGCTAACTGAAGGAAAAGAATAAGCTCGAGTATTTTCGGTCATAGTCACGTAACCAGGTTCTTTCTCTGTCAGATAATACGAATGATTTTTCCCTGGTGACATTGTTGTTAGGTGTGAAGTACGGCAATAAAATTGCCGTGTGAAGTACACCTATTCCCAATAGGAAATTGAAGGATGCAGTGACGAGTGCGGCAAAAATCTAAAAAGTGGGCTATACTCTATCTTTAAATATGGGGCTTACTCACATGGGGTAATAAACTGAGATTCATTTTCGACAAAGACTATCTGGAAAATGATCATTAAGAAACTTATTTTTAATGAGCGCAGAAATATTTATTCTTTGATAGTGTAGATGAAGTGTAAATATCACATGCCTAGTTACTACTAATTGTACATGGTCTTTTACCTTTTATTTGATTGATATCTCAGATACGGCTAGATAGTCAGAAAACGAATAATTTGTGAAAACAACGATAAAATCATGCCAGCTACTCAGGTCGGTACAATGGTCGTAGGTAAGTATAACTTATCTGTAATATCAAGAAAACAATATAGACATTCCATCAAAAGAATTAAACTCATTAGCCCAATAGAAAGATTCCTGGACAAAAGGACAAATGCTAGTTTGGGATGCCACCTGCACTGACACTCTAGCACCATCCCATGTTAATTTGTCAAGTAAGACGAGTGGGGCAGTAGCTGAATCTGCGGCATGTATACAAATAAGGAAATATAGTTCAATTATAAAACAGAACCATATTTTTATACCTTTCGCAGTAGAAGCATTGGGACCTTGGTGTAGAGAAGCTCGTAATTTTGTGGACTGCTTGAGAAAACGTATTTATTACCAATATTACTGGAGAACCTCGACTAAAATGTTTCTTTTAGCAACATTTAACTTAAACCAAAAAATTAAAAAAATGGACCCCTTACAAGTTTCCGTTACAGTATCCCTCTTCCTCTAAGATTATACCTTCCAACCGCGCCGAATTTGTGCTAAAAATGGGATAATTTGCTTACAATAAAAGACGGCTGAGCAGAATACAATGGAATCCCTGCAAATACAACAGATTTAATATGCGATAAAATAGACAATATCTTTTTGAATAACGCAAGACGCTCAAATATACAAATGAGTATTTCGTTCAGGTTTTAATTCAATGTTTGCCACGTGGTTGACTGTGTTAAAGGAGTGGTACATCATTTCCTTTACAATTTAGTTCCTGTCGCTCTCCCTTGAAGCTTGCTGGTTTACTTAAATCGTTGGAAAAATGTGATTCAATTTCGGCGAAAGTTTTTCGATGTGTTTCAATCACAAATACATAAATGTACACACAACCCAATAAACTAATTAAAGAAATATAGTAGAATGGGTACGACGCGTGTACAGTGGTTTGTAATAAATAGTAACATTGTATCGAGGAGAATTCGGTAATGCAACAAAAAATGCTGTAAATAGATTGGCCCACTCCACGAACGTGCGTTGGATATACTTCAGCCGCAACCATGTATGGAACAACGAACATTCCTGTTAAAGCAGCTATGAAGTACAATAAGGTTGTCAACAATGGGATCCATTGATAATTCGACAGATCTGAAACAATTTTTTAAACAGCAACTCCGTGGCTATTCTACCTACCCTCTGTCCTGTAACTGACGTATATTCCCAACGTCAACATGCAAGCTGACATCGCTGCGCAACTGATCATCATCAAGAATCGGCGAGATAGTCTTTTCATTACCCAAATCATACAAATAGACGTAATTAGCTGTGCAATTCCAATATACACGCCGACCTGGTATGAATCATAGGTTGTACCAAAATCCTGAAACGAAAGCAGTTAGTTAGTTCTATTTTCAATACGTACTTCCTTCACCATGAGAAATTGTACAATATTTGGAAAAATGTAGCTTGTTCCAGAAAAATCTTGAAAAAATCGTAAACCCGCTAACATAAAAACCCTTTTGTATCCACTAGGATCGAGGAAAAACCTCATTTTTTCCAACAACTTCAGTTCTGTAAAACGTTGTCGCTCGTGGAACTCTTGTATTGCACGCAGTTTCGTTTCTATCGCATCACACTGTAACAACTCCATGTACCACGCAGTCATAAAGAGAAAAAAGTACCCTATCAGATTTAAACGTTTTATGTTTGTAAAATGCATGCAAGGCTGTTCTTGCTTCGAGACTTCGTCCTTTGCTGACTAACCACAAAGGACTTTCATATAAAAATGCTGATAAAGTAACGGGTATTAGCGTTAATCCGAAATTAATCCAGGCAGCTGTTCGCCAATGCAACTTGGAACCGATTGCCAAAGCAGATAATGTCCCTAAAACTCCATAGAATTATCGACACAAGCGCGCTAATCATACCTGAACCCGTGAAAACTATTTTAACGTGAAGTAGCATTCCTCTAACATTGGAAGGGCTTATTTCGGCAATATAAACGGATGCTCCCAGGAGAAACCACCCTAATGGCATCGCTGAGGTACGAACTTGCGCGGTATGCTACTTACCATAAGAGAAGCTTGACAGACATTTTCCAACTAACAGAGCCGCAAAGCTCTGCGAATTCGCCGTAATTATCCACGATACTGCGTAAGGCACCGCTGCGAGTCTAAGTGCGTTTAACCGTCCAAAAGTATCCATCGTAATTCCAGACAGGGCGCCAGATATGGGCATCACTAGGGCGGGGGCGCTAACTGAAGTTAAAGAATAAGCTCGAGTATTTTCGGTCATAGTCACGTAACCAGGTTCTTTCGCCGTCGGATAATACGAACGACTTCTCCATGGTGACATTTTTGTTGGGCGCGAAGTACGGCAATAAAATTGCCGTGTGAATGACACCTATTCCCAATAGGAAATTGAAGGATGCAGTGACGAGAGTGGCGAAAATCTAAAATCCACGTCATACGCTATACTATTTAGATATTGGGATTACTCACATGCGGTAATAAACTTAGATTCATTTTCGACAAAGAGTGCCAGCAAAAGATCTTCTCCGTGAAGCTTTTGTTTTAATAAGTGCGGAAATATTTACTCTTTGATAGTGAGACTACGTTTAAGCGTAGTGTAAATATGACATGTTGCGCAAAATCGTAAATTTCGGCTTAGAATGTTACACGTTCTACTTCAGTGTCTTCCACTCGCTCGTGATGATATTGAAGGAGTTGTGTCAAAGGGCATTTAGGAACCAGTATCTTTGGGAAATTCACCTCGTGCCCAATGTCAGGTGAACGCCCGATCCTTCCTTGAACTCTCATCAATCCTTCATCATTGAGCACACAAAGAGGACTTTTGACTGGAATCTCCTTTTCTTCTTATTGACAAAACCTGGTACTCAGTAGGGAATGACTCCATTTAAACATTCCTTACCAGCCAACGCTCAGTCCTTCCCAACTCCTGAGGTTCCAACTCTGGACTGAGAGTCCGGACCGCCCATGTCGCGCAGTTCAGTTGAAGCTGGAAGGCGGTACTAAGGGTCCCTGGTTCAAATCCGGGTTCGGACATGGATATTTGTAAATGTATAGTAGGTCTGCCACTCCTCAACAGGCTGCGATTTGTCTTTCCTCTAAAGGAACCTTTTCGCATCTCTGTCTTTGTGTCGAATGAGGACCTGGTGGAACATCTTTTTGATATCAGCCGTGGAAGCAACTTTTCTTGCCCTAAATCGAATCTAAATCCATGAAATGGATTCCAGCAAATCCGCATCTAAAACCATTCTGATTTTATTTCGCTTTTTGGGATTGAAGTCTACAAAGTGGGGTAAATACCATACCTTGCCCGAATCAACTTGAGTTTATCCATATCAACTCTATGAACATACCCCATTTGTTCATTGTGAGCCATCTTGTCTCGCTAGCGCTTAGCAAACACCTGGTTTTCTTCGAATCTTTTTTCCAGAAGATTGAGACGTCCCAAAGGCCAAAGCTTGCTCTTTGCAACGTCCCGAGTCAACTCTCCATCCATCCATCCATACTTACACCTTTTCACTAACGGAGCGTTCTTTATTGGAGGTTTAATATACAGGGTGGCCATTTGAAAACGAAACAGAGCCTATTTTGGGGACCTCAAAAATCTACGAAAAAATACTCGGACCCGTCAATTTTTTATTCAAGGGGGAACCATTTTTTCGCTAGTTTCGCCCCCCGGAGGGCAAAGCCCTGGTGGGGGTGACAAGCACCCCCAAAATTTTAAATCGAATGGGTGGTCGAGTGATACCTGATTTTGAAGGTATTTCTATGTCGATTATAACCCTTAAGTTTTAAATCGCTACTAATTTGCCTAGTCGATACAGGGGCTAATAAAAGTTATAAAAATATGTCAACATTTTCTTATGAAAAAAATTCTTGTAAATGAATTAGTTAAATAACAAAAATAAAAACAACAGTAAATACAAAAAAAGTTGTTCTCCTACATTCTGAATTGTTGTTTTTTTTTCTTTTTAATACTCGTAAGTACATATGCCTTTTCTGCAACGCAAATCTTGGTTATTGTTGAGAGCATTACTATAGCAGCATTTTGAAGTTTAATAGTGATTGTCAGATCATAGTAGTGACAAATAGCGCTTTAAAGATATTTAGTTGCAAAATCGGTACATTGAACAGTGATAATGGTTTATTCACTGAAATAATTTCTCTTTTCTTGCAAACAATGAAAATGCTAATAGAACTGCCCAGCTCTTTAACCGACAACACCAGAATCGACAGGTCCATCGTATGTTTGGGCTGCCATTTTTGGTGACCATATCGTAGGCCCCTTCTTTTTACCTGGAATTTTAACAGGAGAGATGTACCTGGAGTTATTACAAAAGACGATTCATCCAGAATTAGTGGAGATACTAGAAAATAACAACGAGTACTTGGAAATAGTCTAGTATTTCAGCAAGATGGTGCGCCACCCCACTATGCTGCAAGGGTTCGTCAATATTTGGACCAAACGTTTCCAGGACAATGGATTGGAAGAAAAGGTGCTATTTTGAATGACCTTCTCGTTCCCCAGATTTAAGTGCGTTAGATTTTTCTTATGTGGCCATTTAAAAACTAAAATTTATGCTAGTGAGCCAACATCGCATCGTTAGACAACTTGCGACAAAAAATAATTTACGAATGTCGTCAAATCACCCCAGAAGTTTTTCAAAATGTACGGGAAATATTTGAACAAAACCTGTATTATTCTATGGAAGTCGAAGGCCAACATTTTCAACATTTACTTGATTTAAAACTTAAGGGTTATAATCCACATAAAAATACCTTCCAAATAAGATATCACTCGACCCCCCATTCGATTTAAAATTTTGGGGGCGCTTGCCACCCACGCTATAGCTTTGCCATCAGGGGGGCGAAACTAGCAAAAAAATGGTTCCCCCTTGAATCAAAAATTGACAGGTCCGAGGATTTTTTCGTAAATGTTTTGAGGTCCCCAAAATAGACTCTGTTTCGTTTTCAAATGGCCACCCTGTATACATTCTCTTGAAATAATGAGATAGATATTATCTTGTCTTATCAGGATTTGTGGCTCGCCCACCCTCTCAGAAAAATTCACTTTTTGCAAATGTGGCCCAACGATCCAACAGTGTCTTGATCTTGATGCAATTGTAAGGGATCACTTAGGGTCACTTAGGATAGACTGCACATAGTACACATAATGCACATTATTAACTACATCCATAATTATTAAAGTTATATATAAATACATAACATCAAATAAGAATTTACAAGATCACGAATTGAATTAAACCTTATTTTCAAAAATTTCACCTGGTTAAAAAGGAGCAGGGAAGGGATGCAAAACTAAAAAATAAAAATACGTCATTACAACAAACGACCTTAATTTAGAACTGACAGGAAGATATAGATCAAATAAATATGAAAAAAAAAATATGAAGAACTTCTCGAAATGCAAACCGCGCTTGTTAGTTGCCGTAATAAATCGTGTGCCTTAAGACAGATACAAATGCATCTGCAAGTGCGCGGCTTTTAATCTGGTGTCGGATAACTTAAACTAAAACAACTGGAGAACATAAATTAACGGCTTTGTCTCTTTTTGCGTTTATAATAATTAAAGAATTGCTCTTGAAAGACTCAATCGCGCAATTAATAACGAACTTAATTAATTAAGGATTTATCGCGAAAACGGCGAAATCAATTGTTTGCCTATTCTAAATAAACAGCCTTCGAGATAAAGTTCACTGAATCAAAGAATTCTGTTTCAGACATTCCGCAGCTAAAACCACTGCACGAAATTTCACGCATCACGAAATGGGGGAAACACTTTCCGAGTGAAAAGTCAGTAATGAGAATTTCCCGGGCGGGCGTTATTCTTTCTTCGTCTCAAACATTGCCTTTGCCTTATTATTCGCGCATTAGTGCAACCTTTCGTTGGCTTGGAAGGTATTGTTAACAATTCAGATTTGAATTGCCTAATTAAAAAATAACATCGAGAGAGGTTCTCACGGACGTCATCCTGCAGAAACTCAAACGTCAGGCGTGTCAACCCTTACATGAAATATGTATCGTACAACCCTTCCCTATCGAAAGCTGCAATTGACAGACTTTTATATCAAACCGGAATGTTATATTACCAAAGAGAATAGCAACCTCGCCGAATGGAGTCTGAGTTTTATACCCACATTTTAATTAGAAATACGTCAGTTACCATACTTTCCGATTATGTGTTTCGAATTGAGGGCCCTTGCTACGTTTTAGGGTACGCAAAATTAATTTCCTTACCACCTAAGAACCACCGGCAAAGAGCATTGACAATAAGATTTAAACGTTAACACGCGGACAATGGAGATTACTCGCACCATGATTGACGGCCAAATGTAAATTCATCGTTTATGAACACGTTAATCGTTTTAGTTTCCATTCAACGTTTGTCAGGGTTAAACAAAAAAGTGACGGGAGTACAAAAGTGACTCGCAAATCACAATCAATTATTGTGGTATATTAAATCGGACAAAGTCATTCAGAAATCCAATAATTGTTCTTATTCATGATTAATGATAACTGGCTCACTGCTTATTTATTAACGAACCTTTTTCAACCGTACATTCATTATAACTGATTGGTGAAAAATACTGTTGTGGATTCGGAAATAAAAACCGTTAGCATGGAACGAAACTGAAATATAAAAAAACAAATTTGGCGAAGATAACTTCACATTGCATTGGGAAAATAATAATAGACCCTGATGCTCCTACTCAATACATTCAATTTGAAAAACTTAAATTGGCTATTCTTTGGCATAATGGATCATATTTTTACCTAATAGTTGAGAACCAGTACGGTAAAAAAAAGACACATAAACTGGTACTAATATTCAAAGGAGTAGTTGTATAGGTACTTTCTTTGATATCCCCGAACCCTTCCGATATTTCAGACAAAGATGATAAATTGAACACTAGCAAAAATGCTTTAAACTGTATATAATAGAGGTAGTCAAATTGTGTATTGTGCTTCTTTTAGGAGTAGTTTGGTAATAATTATTAATATTATACAAAAAAACGGCATAACAAATTTTGCTTGCCCTACCTAAACGCATACACTCTAAAATTCAAGGTTCGTTTCGCAAAACAGAAAACATAAACCCCGAACAGGATTGTGGTTTGTTTCAAGGAATCTTCACAATCTTAAGGAACCTCCAAGAACTATAAAATCATTAAAATTTCAGAAGCTACAAAAATGTCAAAACTTAGAATATTGTAGCGAATTTTTCAAAAATCCCAATAGACATCGAGGCACCATTAAAGATTAGTTATCGGCGATAAAGAACGAAGGCGGATGTTACCGTTCTTGTTATATTTCGGAAGCTATTCCATTTGTTAGTTAACTAAACAAATTCCACAGTCCGTCGATTTGCAAGAATCATCGAGACAATCTTTGGAATTGGTTATCTTAGCGTTCCATCATCTGTAAAAAAATTGAGAACGCTCTGGGAGTCATCCAGTTTGAAAGACCAAGCATCGTTTTGTAAATTTGTTTATTTAATTGGTCAATTGCGGTGATTGAGATT